TTTCTTTCTTTCTTATTTATTTGTGGTTAGCATTCGACTTAACTTCTTATTATATTAACTAATTTATTAGTTATAAATTATTAAACTAATATTAATTAAATGAATTATTACCTGATATCCAGAGAGAGAGAGAGAGAGAGAGAGAGAGAGAGATCATGGTGACTTACACATTTGTCTCCATTGAAAATGTCTTCGCGGTAACCGCCCAGACATCTACAGCCCCAAAATGAATCACAGGAGCGGTAAAAATCATGGCTGGGATAGCAATAGCTTAAAGTGGTCGCATTTTTATCGCAATTATATTTCTCGCATTCCTTAGTCTTATTATTATAAATATAATTGGTTTTACAGTAACACCAATTGTCAACACACACGCTGTTAATTCCGGGACAGTTTATATTACTTGAGCATGTTAAATTTTTGATTTTATAATCAGTTGGTTTGTTATAACCATAATGAGATTTATCCACTTGCGGGTTAATATCTGTCTCAGAATTGTCATTTAAAACAATTGAACAAATATTAAGAGATATAAAAATTGTTAACAATATTCTCGACTCCATATTCGTAGCAAAAATAATCAACTTTTAAACAACTATATCCTTTAAATATATAGGTTGTTAACTATTGCTTTATTATATTGTATTATACCTGCCTACAATTTAACTTCTGATAAATAAATAGGTTATGTCAAATACAAGACATGCAAGTATAATATATAAAGTTTAGTAACCATAATGTTTATTCTTTGTAGATATTACAAATATTGATATTTAGATTCTTTAAAAGTTGTAATTATATATAACTAGTATTATCTAATATAACGGAATTGTAACTAAAATAATTATAATTTTTACAAATTACATTTTTTATTGACAATTAATATACCGATGATTTACTGTACAATAAATCAGTTAAATATTGCAGCAATTGATTGAAATATGGTTACAATAAAGGTTTTTATTAAATAAATGTTTTATTAGATTATTATTAGAGATAATTTGGTACAATATTTCATATATTAAAGCAAACGACAATTAAACGATACAAAATATATATAAGAATGGGAGGCCTGTATAATAAATAAACATTATCAATTACATTATTATTATCATATTTACATAACTAAAACATTGATCAAGCTGAATTTAAATTATTTTTAAACTTTACTATCTAGATTAAGTAAGATATTAGTTGTTTACTATCTTAGCATACAAAGTGTTTATAACATGTATGGAATTCTTTAGTACTATTATTTAAACTAGGTGCATAATATTGCACAACAATATAATATTTTACTGTGTTTTATTTGTTATAAAATTAAATATAATACTTTATTTTTGATGTAAATACAGTATTGTGCAAACCTATTATCACCATGATATGAGTATTTATTGCACGTATTATAATTTGATATAATCAGTGTATTCTAAGGCGGAATCTATTTATAACAAAAATAAGAATAATTTTTTTTTGATTATTAAATTTTATTAAATATGATAGAAGTTCGCAAACATTTACTCACATTCGTTACATGGTTCATTTGGGAGCAGAGATTATAAACTCATTCGGATTAAAGTTTGTCACAATAGGGATCACTCGACACATAAAAGATGTTGGATGGCCGGGATAAGAGTCGGTCCAATTGGGGTCAAGTAATTGTCTGTCAATTCATACCCAGTTGGTATATAATGTAGATTGGTGATGCGATTCAAGCCATCGGGTTAGCGCAAAACCGCGGATCCAAATGGCAGAGGAAAATTTTGTGTGTAAAAATTAAACACTAAGGTATGCTCGTATTAGTATTAGCATATTAGCAATTCTATTTATTTATTAAAACCATATTGCACTTATTACAGTAAATTAAATATCATGCAAGTATTAAGTCAAAACATAAATTTAATTTGTATTATAAATAGATAATATTAAGTCTGTGATTGTTTTTTAAGTCTGAATTTACAAAGTGAGGGACCGGACCGTTGCTCGTCATATACTAGGGTTGGGATATAATGAAATGTGTGACCGACGGGACAGATCTCGACGCCGTCGCACACATAACCCGAATGCAAGTTTAGGCGATAATCGGGATGAGTATGAAAATGCACGCCCAATACCAAAACCCGTTGTAGCGGTTGTTAGTATTGGAAAAAAATATTTCCCAGGAGTCTAAGTTGTGATGTGTTTCGTAACCGCTATATTTCTGTATATCATGACATCAGTAATCAGATTAATATTATTTTTAATTCACAATTAATAAATTAATTTATATAGTAGATTGTTAAACAAAATATTAACTAAATATAACAATTAATTAATTAGAGAGAGAGAGAGAGAGAGAGAGAGAGAGAGAAAGAGAGCATGGTGACTTACACATTTGTTTCCATTGAAAAGATCTTCGCGATAGCCATCAATACAACTGCAACCCCAAAATGAATCGCAGTGTCTATGGATGTCATGCTTTGGATTACAATACCTTCTTGTGGTCGCATTTTTATTGCAATCATAATTCACGCATTTCTTGGTGTAATTATTATAGACATAATCGGGTTTACAATAACAATAGCGGTCAACACATACGCTGTTAAAGCCGGGACAACCCGCGTCACTAAAGCATGTTGAATCTTGGATTTTATAATCAGTTCGTTTCTTATAACCATATTTTGATTTATCCACATTCGATGGATTTATCCACTCTGGGCGTGGCTTTGTTCGTCCATCTGGCACCTAGAGCAAATACATATTTATTATTATACTGGTGAGAGAGAGAGAGAGAGAGAGAGAGAGAGAGAGAGAGTGATCATAATGACACGTCCATCTGGCACCTAGAGCAAATACATATTTATTATTATACTGGTGAGAGAGAGAGAGAGAGAGAGATCATGGTGACTTACACATTTGTGTCCATTAAAAATGTCTTCGCGGTAATCATTAATACACTTACAGCCCCAAAATGAATCACAGTATCGATTATCATGTTTGGGATGGCAATAACTTTTTGTGGTACTATTTTGATTGCAATTATATTTCACGCATTGCTTCGTGTAATTATTATAGATATAATCAGGTTTGCAATAACACCAGCCGTCAACACAAGCGCTGTTATATCCGGGACAATTCGAGTCATATGAGCATGTTGAATTTTTGATTTTATAATCTGTTGGCTTACGATAACCATGTTTAGATCTGCCCACTTTTGGTGCATTGTCTAAATGGTTACTCAAAACAATTGAACAAATAATAAGAAATATAACTGTTGTGAACAATATTCTAGACTCCATATTCTTAACAAAAATGATTGTTTTTTACCCACTAATCATAAATATATAGTTTGCTAACAATTACTAGTTTGCAGTAAACTTTATTGTTCTGTATTATAATTTATAAATCATATAATGCAGAATCTGATAACTAGAAGGTTATTTCAGATAATAGATATAACTTACAAATATAATTCACGACAGCTAACTAATTGCACAACTAACTACTAATAATTTTGTTAATAAAATTTTTACAATTAGCATTTAAACTGTAGAAATCGTATAAATTATAAGTTATAATAAACAGATATAAACTAAATTTACTACAATATTTATAAAATTAAGTTTTTATTTGATGATACCGTATATTGTTCAATTATTTTATAAATTAGCTAAATGTTACATCAAAATATTGAAGTGTAACAATAAATGTTTTTGTTAAATGAATGTTTTATTATATAATTGTTTTATTATGGTTTTGAATATTTTTATATATTAAGACCGAAGCAAACAACGAAACGATAAACATATAAATCTACCTGTATATCAATAATATAATTCGTGTGCAAACTAGTAAATAAACATTACCAAGTACCCAGTGTAGATCTTAAAACGTTTTTAATTTGAATTTAAATTAATTATTCATACAAAAATGAATAAAAATTCATACATGTATAAATTTAATATTTATTACAAGTATTATATTTTGACACAACAAAAATTAAAACTAACTAAAAAATAAAACTATGTAAATTTTTTATAAATATTACATTATATTACAACCAATTGTTTGCAATTATTTAGCTTTTAGAGTAAACATGTTGTTCACCCAATCGATTAGGATCAGAGGTTGTGGGCTCATCCGGGCTAATGATTGTCACAATAGGATCACTCGATACGACTGGAACTGTTTGATAAGGCAATGAATCGGCGCCAATGATAGGGGCAAACGAATTGTGTGGCGATTCATCGGTTGGTGTATAGGCTGGCGGTGCGTCCGAAGCCGTCGGGTAAGCGGTAGGCCGCGGACCGAAAGGCATCGAAAAATTTTGTGGGTAAAAATTGGGCGCAAATCCGGGGAAACCTTGCGGTCGCGGACCACCAAACTGACCAAATGCGGCGAAACGTGGATCCATTGGACCCATTGGGCCGTACGGTATGCCCATATATGGAAAGGGTGGCGCTGTGTTGACCACGTTGGGGTTATATGGTGCAAAATTGGCACTGTTTATGTGATCAGGTTGCGGCTGCCGTGGGTAGGGGGCAGTTGTTTGTACGGAGCTTTGAATGGGTTGCGCCGGTGGTTGCGGTTCAGTGCTCACCGTATTTGTGGTGCGATTTGTCTTTCGCCTCAAACGCCGTCTTCTGATGCAAACAGCGATACAAATGATAATAATTATTGGGATCGCAATCACAACCCAAACCCAATACCAAATGCTTATTTCGTCGTCGTATGGGGTCGGGTATGTAAATGGGAGGTAAGTGGTTGTTTGCCCAGAAAGTACCTGGTCAAATATATCATTTATTACCACATTTAATGGAGAGAGAGAGAGAGAGAGAGAGAGAGAGCATGGTGACTTACACATTTGTTTCCATTGAAAAGATCTTCGCGATAGCCATCAATACAACTGCAACCCCAAAATGAATCGCAGTGTCTATGGATGTCA